TATTGTGATCGTTTATATATACCATTAGGGCCTAGGCCATAACAATATAATGTCTTGTTTCTCATCACTTTAAACAGAACAGGCTAGGGTGGGTGGGATTATATTTTCCTTTGTTTTCTTCTATGTCAGTATAGCACTTAAGAAACATTTTGCTCATCAGTTATTAATGAAACTTTAAAATGTATAATTAATAATGCAATAAACTGGATTCTTCTGATAAAAATGTGATGTAACTCGTTGTGACCAATTTTCTTTCCTTTCAATTCTGAATATTTATGTTCATCATATTTTTACTTTCAGATTTCTCTGACACTTCCTGAATCTGCATCAAAAATACAGGTCACAGGAGCAATATGTGAATGCAAGGCCGGAAGGGGACAGTGCTCTCACTGCTTGGGTCTGCTATTTTCTATTTCCCATTTTCAAAAGCTTGGACTTAGAGCAGTTCCACCTGTGCAAAGCAGAACTTCATTGCCTCAGGCCTGGCAAATACCACTATAGACTGAGGGTCTAACCCCACAAGCTGTGGATTCACTAACTGTAAATAAAGTTAAAACAAGTAGTGAAATGAAAACAAGGAAGAGGACGAAAAAGGTAACAGAAGGTGTAATACCAAAGGTATACTGTCCTGTGACACCCATACCTCACCAAGAATTTTGTAAGGACTTGGTTAATCAGCTTTCATCAGTCAACAGTAGTGCACAGATATTGAAAGTAATCCATTCATACCAAGAATGCATCGTGACTGATTCTAAGTTAGGTCCAGTTCCTCAAGGATCTGTGCTCTCATACCAACAAAAACCAGTCAAGTTGACCTCAGATATCATCAACCACTTGGACCAAATGACATTTCCCGATTTCATATTGCCTCAACAAGTTTCCATATATTCAACCTGTCTCAGTTATTCAGGCTACAATGTTTTTCATGATCTTTACGTGGACAGATCCTTTTGTTTAGAACTTGAAAGTCTTACACGAGAACAACGTTTTAACAGAACATGGCATGACGTGAGGAAACACAGAATTACTTCATCTGTGTTTAAAGATGTGTGTGTTAGAAAGAATGATTATGAGAAACTGGCTGATCGTATGCTAAATTTGAAACCAATCCAGACAGCAGCTATGAAGTTTGGGACAGAGGAGGAACCTAAGGCAGCAAAATTGTATTCTGAAATTACCAGCAACAATGTGTACTTGAGTGGATTTGTTGTAAATCCAAGTTGTCCTCACCTTGGCACTTCTCCAGACCGCAAGGTTTATGACCCCACTTCAGACCCTAATCATGGATTATTGGAAATCAAGTGTCCAAGCAAAAAAACCTTCTCGGCTTGTGACTTTCTTAGAAAAGACATTCGAGATGGCACTTTCAAACTGAAAAAAAGTCATAAATATTATTATCAGGTGATAGGACAAATGGGTCTAACTGGAATGACCTGGTGTGATTTTTTTGTGAAATGTGAGGAGGATTTCCATTTGGAACGTGTGGTATTTGATGATGAAAAATGGCAAGACATGAAGTGTTTGCTTGATAAATTTTATTTTGAGTATTTTTTGCCTGCAGTCTGTACAAAACTGTCTAATATTAAATAGATATGTAGACATGCTAATGATGTTAGATGTCTAGAAATCGCTAGTCAAGGATTAAAATAGTATGATGATGTGGAGATACTCTCAGTTTAGCAATGTTGGAGAAATGGTTTCTCACTAAACAAGGAATGATGTTGAAAAATATAACAAATATTTTGATGTTTTGCACATTTTAATGAAAATGACTTCATATTGCAATTTACTGTCAAAATTGGAATTGATTACACTTTAGCAATACTTTTCATTCCGCAATTTTGGATTTAGTGGTTATGTAACCACTGTAATATTACAAGTCACACCAACATCTCATCTTATAGGCCACTCAGGTCTTGCTTTGAGTTATTTTGCTCTGTTTTGGTACTTAAGGTCGCATCAGCGATATTTCAGCTTCTCACAACTACTCCGACACATTATACTGCCTCCGAGACAAGCAGTCCCTACTCTTATCCCCTTAGTGCTGACCATCTAGCTGAAAAGCAGAAGGAATACCAACTTTTTACACAGGGATGTACATGAAGTTGGGTATTTGCGGATACCTGGGACTCATACTCTTAATTTTCAGGGGTCACTGACAACAAAATGGGGCTCCCAAACACTTACATATTAGTATTAATCATGATCATCACATTGTTACAGTAATTTAATTGCAAATAATACCATAACCCAGCTAGTAGCAAACTCGGGGATAACTTACTGCCACTTGATTAGAATTTTTACCAAAAGTATTTGGGCTTTTTCTGCATCCCTGTGGACGGGCTAATAAATTATGTCGCGTCAATTGTCAATCGTCCTGTAAATCCCTGTTTTTGTCTTCAGGTATGACACAGTCTGGGGATTTGAGAGTAGAATGCATCTAGAATTCACATGCCTAACTTAATACTACATGGATAATGTGGTGGGTTAACATATAATCTTACTTATGGAAAACACAACTTCATATGTATGTATGCAAATCTTTTGAGTGTGATACAGTTATTTAATGTCTTCAGGTATGACACAGTCTGGGCTTTGAGAGTAGTATGCATCTAGAATTCACATGCTTACCTTAATACTACATGGATAATGTGGTGGGTTAATACATGTTATTTATGAAAAACACAACTTCATTTGTAAGTATGCAGATTTATTTGAGTGTGTTACAGTTATTTAATAAACAATTTAACTACCAATTCAATGAACAGTTGTCTCTCATCATTTACATGTCTTTAGAGGTTCGGAGCACCAAAACCCACAACACAAAGTTGAAGTCATTGTATGTCTGATTTATGTAAGTTAATTCTGTTTTATTTTGGGGGCAAAATATATTTATACATATAAGTATACTTGAGAAATACAGGTGAGTAATGTGGGATGACTTTCAGCAATGTTTCACCTACATTGTCACTGAGGCTCCCGTCTCCGAGCTGCACAAAAGTACACTGCACAAAGGTTTCAGGATTAGACTGAGTTTGGGAGTGAAATTGTTACATGACTTTCAGCAATTTTCCAGCTCTATCAACATTTGGTGTACACAAAGAGAAGAGACATGAAAAGAAAGAAAGTGAAAGCAAAAGATCCCCAGTTTAGTTGCCTTTTTCAACAAGCAAGGGGTTATCGAGGTCATATTCTTGCTTAGTGTCTGAAGACACTTCCCAGAAATCCAACAAGGTTCATAATAAGACAGACAGACAATTTTATTCATGTATTTAGGCCAAGGCCCATATTACAATATTATGAAAAGTGTGTTAATGCACTGCCTTCCTGTTTAGATTGCTAACCTGAAATTGTTTCACCTAAATTTACAAATAACTGTTCTTAGATGCCTCTTGAGATACAAGATTCAACATGTAACATTGTTTTAAATTGACAATACGTCTGGCACTTACTAGACTGTGAAGTTATAGAGTGCCACACTTGACTCAAGGAATCAAATAATCTTTGTTTAAAAAGAGCAGTAAACATTTCAATATTACCAGTGTCATGTCCAAAGTACTCCAAAGCCAAACTGAAATTTCTCACATGAGACGCCCAGGTCTTTCTACCCACATCATCTAGATTCTTCAGCATTAAATAAGACTGATAAGGTCATCTAATTGGATTATTCTACACCAATACTTTGTTGGTTTTAACATATAATTGCATTGGAGTGGTACTCTACCACATTCACCAAGTGCCATAACATCACACATATTCTTATGTAGCCTTAATATTCTCTTACAAAAACTGGTGTGTACTCTTTCGATGGTTTTACAATAGTGTGTACCCCAAAAGTCAGCTCCATAAAAAAAAATTGGAACAAGCATTTTATGAGATATTGTAAAGGCATCAGTACAAGAAACAAAACCATATTTTCTCTGATAGCTAAATAAGGACATCAGAGCCTTGTATGCCTGGGCTGCTGAACAGCTTTGTTCTTTTGACCATGACAAGGTTGGTGTGAAAACCACCCCAAGGTATCTGTAGTCGTTAACAACGTCAATTTTTTGGCCTTTAAAATACCAATTCTCATAAGTTATTTAAAGGACCACCTCTTCGAAGCACCATGATTTTAGTATTTTGTACATTTACCCTCATACCAGTTCTTTCACAAAATTGTTCTCAGACGTTTATTTTTATCACAATTCAAATGATTTGATACTACATCCTTACTATTAATATCCACAGAGTCATTAGGATCTGGCGAAAACATGTACGTTGCCATGCATCATGTATCATCATGTTCATAATTAGAAAATTTACCATACTCAACAGTTACAATTTCACTTAAAATAATGGTCCTCGAAAATTTGTAAGAATGAGAGGAACAACTCCATCAAATATATGATATTCTTTTATACGCCTGATTGCTCTTTCCACATGGATTCTTAAACGTGCAATTTCTTGGGTTTCTGACACCTCTTCTCCACTGAACTGTCCTTTATGGTCAAGAAATGGGGGGATCACTAAACTTGCTTGTTTTTTCTCCAATAAATCCTGTATCAAAAATCCTTTATCAGCCATTACCTCATCACCTGGCTCCAGAAGATCCACAATGCCACATCTACTTGTGATTTCCTTATCAGAAATTGCACCGGTATATAAAGTACTAACAAACGATAAAACTCCACAGGGTGTAATACCTATCAGACCCTTAAACGTTGTGTGGCTCTTGTACGACGAATAAACCTCTGAGTTCAATACTCTGGAACTAGGAGTCTGCACCTTCACCTCTGTACAATCTATGATGACCCGTGTCTTGGGATACCAAAGTTTGAAATCTCTTGGCATGTTACTGTCAATTATTGAACGAGTTGGCCAAATCGTGATACTTCCTAGCATCACATATACAGGTAGTTGGCCCAAGTGATTAATATCCTACTGACTGATGATTGAGACACATTGAACCTAACTGCCAGATCACGTTCAAGTAGTCCTTGATGCACTAAAAAACTGATCTATCGGAATGCACTTGTTTTCAATTTATCCATGTTTGATGAATGTCTCTGCATCTGCGTCCACCTAATCATGGTAGTAGCTGTGGGCTGTAGGGCTACGAAGACACTCTTGAGAGTTGCATAGTCTTTAAAACCTGTGTGAGGAAAGATAATATATATTATTTATTATATTTTTGGAATTTATTTGAACATTGAAATATACTTCAATAGCTTGTTAATCCAACACTGTTCAGCCTACTCCGTGATCAGTTAACCGTTGGTTGTCCTTGGGGTTTTTTTACATGTAAAATGCAATTATGCAATATACAATAAATTATAAATAAATGTGTTCACATTATTAAATACAAAATATATGAAAAAATGGTGGCTACAGATAAGACTGACTGAGTTTGGTTTTACACAGCTTTTAGCAATATTCCAGCAACATCACGGCGGGGGACACCAGAAATGGCTATAGGTAAGAGTCTGTGCAAGAATTATAGGTGATACAATGAAAGTGTGTGATACCTGTGTAGAAATTAATATTCTGAGGATCATTGCTGAAACGCTCCAAGAAAAACAGCTTTTGACTTGTCTCAAGTAGTTGCTGCTTAAGTACTTTCAATTCTGCATGTGCAGCTGCAAGTTGTTCATCAATTGGCTGAGGGGTTATGGTGTAGTCATGATCCATGGAAGCTAAGGGTACTTCATCATGTGAACATGGCATTTCTCCAGCAACCTGAATTTCCATTGGCTCAGGATCAATCTTCCTGAAACAAATTTTAAACAATATCAAGTCACCATCTGTCACTGGAAAATTCTGTGCATATTTTGAGAAAAAGAAAATTGTTTATCAATTATTTGTATACTTTACTCTTAGGGTCAGTTGTTTCATTACTATAATTACATAATGTGAATTTTCTACCAAAGTCTCAAGAAAAAGCATGTATATGTATCATAAAATTGCTGTCTCAAAATAGTGATTACATTGCACAATAATCTCAAGAAAGCAATCACAAGCCAATACTAACTTCAATGATCTTCTTTGTGGACCTATCCGTTTTGATGGGGATCTCTGTGTCCATGGAAAGAGGCTAGGAACTGATCCTGGTAGTAGCGTTCTCTTTCCTATTAAAGTACGACGAATATCACCTGCCTTGAAATGAGATGAGCAGACCCTTGTTTTGTCAGAAAGCTGAAAATATGATAGGTGTATAGATCTATCAGATGCATTGTCTTATAATCAGATTACTTGTAATGATAAAATTATGTGTGTGATCACTACCGTCACTAATGTTAAACCCAATCTTTGATGTACTGAAAGATGGCATAAAATGTTATTATCATGTAACACAAAAGAGCTTGAGGTGGAGGAGAATTCTTCTCCAATATTGGCTGGGATTACTTTCTGGGTCATTGAGCAGCTACAAAACCATTCCTTCGTGGCTGTTGTAAACACTAACTTGATTATTTTTATTAAATATTACTGTGTACACACATGTGCTACAATCATGTTCGACTTGTAACCCTATAATTTGTCCTTAATTGTGTTTAATTCTCTAAAAACTGCAAGGCTGATCGCCCTTTCAACGCATTTTCAATAGAGCCGATATTCCGAATTGGGTATCTCATATTCATAAAAGATATTACTTTGGGATAAGTATTGCAAAGTGAGTAAGAGTATTTTAGCTGCTCGGAAACAATCGCACATGTTGAAAGAATTGATATTTACCTTGAAATATGGTCCGACATCTCTTCTTATCTTAACAAGCCATTCTTTTCTTAAGTTCTTTTCAGCAGGGATTCTGTGAAATGACAGCTGTCCCTCGGTGTCATAACGAGAATCATTAGTGCACATCGGTACACAGCAATGCAGGGCCGCCATTGTTTGTACACCAAGCCTCGTTCTGAGTTGAAAACATGGCGGGCGTGAATACTGCCCAAATCAATCGATTACTGGCCACGTTTTCTTGTTTTTGAGACCGACGATAAGACACTGTTGAAGTTAAACCCATTTGCTGTATCTAAGGGTATCCACGGTATTGTAGGAGATGTGAAGAACATTGAAAGATTACGTTCTGGTCCCCTGTTGATTGAGTGCTGCAAAAAGCAACAATCAAACAACCTGTTGAAGACTGAAACTTTTGTTGGCATTCCAGTCACCGTCACGGCCCACAAGACACTTAACACAAGCAAAGGAATCAGAGACCATGATCGGTTGCTGGCTGACATGTCGGAACTAGATATTGTCTCCGAGATCAGAGATCAGCGTGTACTGCATGTTTACAGCCCGTAAAAATAATGAAACCTTTAAAACCAACACCTAACTATTTTAATTTTCCTTACCTAATGCCCCCAAATCACTTAAGGCAGGCTACTGTAACCTCAGTGTTGAAACGTACATTCCGAATCCCCTTAGGTGCTTCAAGTGCCAAAAGTTCGGTCATGGCATGAATACTTGCACATTGTCTGTTGTGTGTGTTCACTGCGGTGAAAAGACACACATAACAGAAGATTGTGACAGTAATGTTAAAATATGCACTAACTGCTCAGGGGACCACCCATCATTCTCTAAAGACTGTCCTGATTGGAAAGAGCAAATGGCTACCAATAGAATACATTCACCCAAAATATATGTTTTTCAGACGCAAAGCTCAGAACAAACACAAAGCTATGCTTCCATTGCCAGAACGTCAGAAGCAACCTTTACAGTCACCAAATTATCTGCAAGTTGTCAGACCAGCTTAACATGGGTGAAAACAGATTCTCCTCAAATGACATCACCTGCCATATCTACTCAAACAGCAGAACCACTTCCTAGTACATCCAATCAGAGGCATCCTCTGATCATGAACCATCCTCTCAGTCAACAGCCTGGTCTCAACAAATCGCTAAAACCAAAGGTAAAAAGCCAGATTCCTCGAGAAAGCTAAGTGGCAGAACCCCTAAATAGTCAGAAAATAAAATTCAATTGTTCAACAAATATGGATCTCTTGAGGATATGGACTAGGAGAAACTTGGAGAAACTTTGGCCAAACATTCTTCTTCATCAAATTATGTCCCCCAATTCCAAAATTATGAAACGCAACAGGAAAAGAAATCTTTTAATTTCAATTCAGATAATGGGGAAGATTATAATGAAATATTTTGTTTTCATGAGCTTCATACTGCTCTTGATCAAGCTCATGATACTGCTACAGGGGCTGATGACATACATTATCAGCTCCTGAAGCACTTACCGGATTCATGCTTAGAAACCCTCTTAAACATTTGGATATTTGGATTTCTAGACAATTTCCTTCTTCATGGCGCGATGTTTCTATTGTACCCATCCCTAAACCTGGACGTGATAATACTGATCCTTCTAATTATCGACCGATCTCACTTACTAGCTGCGTTTGCAAGGCCATAGAGCGCATGATAAATAATCGACTTGTGTTGTATACTTGGAAACTAATAACCTTATGACAGATATCCAATGTGGTTTCCGTAAAAACAGAAGTACCATCGATCATTTAGTGCGTTTAGAATCCTTTGTAAATAATGCCATTATTCAAAAACAACATGCAGTGTCGATCTTTTGTCGATTTAGAAAAAACATATGACACTACATGGAAACATGGTATTTTAAGAGATTTACATGATTTTGGATTGAGAGGCCGTTTGCCTCAATTTATATCCAACTTTTTAACGTACAGGCAAATTCAAGTTCGCGTGGGTTCTACCCTGTATGATCATTACAATCAGGATCAGGGTGTCCCACAAGGCAGTATTTTGTCTGTCACGCTGTTTAGTATTAAACTAAATAGTCTTTAAAAGGTTTTAAGTGATTCAATCGATGGATCCCTTTTCGTGGATGATTTTAATATTTCTTGCCGTGGTACAAACATGCGAACTATTGAGAGACAATTACAAATTTGTCTCAACAAAATTCATAGATGGTGTCTGGAAAACGGATTTAAATATTCGAAATCCAAAACCAATTGTCTACATTTTTGTAGGAAATACAAACCCCATAAAGATCCTGAATTATCATTAAATGGCACACCCATCAAAGTTGTCAAGGAAGCTAAATTCCTTGGTCTCATCTTTGACTCGCATTTAACCTTTCTGCCACATATCAAACATCTAGAAGCCAAATGCCTGAAGGTATTCGACTTGTTGAAAGTCATTTCCAATTCAAACTGGAGGGGACCAAACCACCCTCATCCATTTGTATAGATCACTGCTCCGATCGAAACTTGATTATGGCTCTCTCGTATATGGTGGGGCCTGTAAAAGCGACCTCAAACTACTTGATTCTATCCATCACCAGGGTCTAAGACTTTGTCTTGGTTCTTTCAGAACCTCTCTTGTTGACAGTCCTATGTCGATGACGAGCCTTCTCTTACACACCGCCGTATAAAATGATCATTACAGTATATGACAAAACTCTTTTCTAACGAGTCTAATCCTGCATTTAACTGTGTTTTTCATCCCCTCTATGAGGAATGTACAACCTAAAATCTTCTCTTATTCCGCCTCTTCGTTTGAGAATTCAACAATTCATTTCTGCTGCCGGCATTGAGCTGGAAAATATAGCTCCTTCCCGTCTTCTGTCTTCTCCTCCTTGGCAACTGGTGAGGCCTGAAGTTGATCTAACACTGACAAAGTATAAGAAATCAGAAACTAATGAATTACAATATAAACAGGAATATAATCAATTAAAAATTAGATATGATACATACAAATCCTTATTTACAGATGGGTCCAAGGATGGTGGTGCGGTGGCATGTGCCACTGTCATTGGATCCAGAACAATATCTTCTCGACTACCAAATAACAGCTCTAAGTTCACAGCAGAAGCTAACGCCATATTAACAGCTCTTAAATATATTAATAAACACCGTAAATATAAACAATACATAATATTTTCCGAATCTCTTTCGTGTCTTCAGGCTATTAAAAATATTTCTTGTAAACATCCACTTTTGTTAAAATTATTGAATTGTATAATGAGCTTGCTACTGGCCAATGCGACATCGTCTTTTGTTGGTTACCCAGCCACGTTGGCATTTCTGGGAATACACTTGCTGGTCTTGCTGCCAAGGCAGCACTCAATAAATCTGTGACACCACTTCTGATCCCATACTCTGATTACAAAGCTAGCATTAGAACCTACATCCGTGATCTGATGCAGAAGAAGTGGGACACCCAAGTAGGTATTAACAAATTACATTAAATAAAACCCTATATCAGTTACACTTACTTGGTTTGTCAGTCAAGATTTGAAGAGGTCACCATACGACGATGTCGTATTGGCCACACAAGATCTACTTATGCATACCTACTGAAAGGTGAGGATCCTCCGCTTTGTATCCCTTGTGTTGAGAGAACCACGGCCAAACATATCCTGCTTGACTGTGTTGAATTCTCCATCATAAGGGACAAATATATCAATATCAAAACAATAAAGGACCTTTGTAATAATGTCAATTATCATTTAATCATTGATTTTTTAACATATATAGACTTGTTAAATGAATTTTAATATATGTTTTGTAAATAGATAATGTTTTATAATTGGTAGTTCAGATTTTCAACTTAGATTGTTAGTGGCTGTATCTTCAAAGGGGGTTGTAGTAGCGTAACATTATTGTCCCCCTGAGAGGGTACGTAAGTCCAAAAAACTTTCACAGTACAATTTTCACGTACCAAGTTTTTAAGCGTAGTATTTTTGTTCTTTTAAATCTCGGCTAAAGTATCCTACAATCTCCAGCGGCTGCAGGGATGGTGTAAATCCAGCTAGGCTCCATGAAGGTGGCAAGAGTAATGTAGTGAGTGAGTTAAGATTTAAAGTCACATCGGCAATATTTCAGCCATGTCGTGACTAAAACTAGTTCTAACTTTGTAATACAGACATATAATATATAAAACCCTGTCAACGAGGGACAGTAAAACAACTAGAATATCACAATTAGATTTAAAACTAGTGTGGCAGGTTAAAACTAATAGCACTATTAGGACAATACAAGATAAAAACAGGCTATAGATCTCCAACAACTGAAGGTCGATCACCATACTAGGGACCATGGGGACTTACAGTACCTTGGCTACCTGCATGGACCCTAGTTGGATTTACACCATCCCTTCAGCTGCTGGCGATTGTAAGAAATGTTAGCTACAATTAAAATGACAAAAATGCTACGTTTAAAAATCCTGGTAAGTTTAAATTGACTTTCGAAGTTTTGGGACTTACGTACCCTCTCAGGGGGACAATATTTTTACGATACTTCAACCCCTCTTGAGAGTACAGCCACTAACAATCTAAGTTACTAATCAAACTACCAATCATTAAAACACAGCTATATACAGAACATATTAATCAAAATTGATTAATGAAATCAATTTCTTTTAAAAAACCAAGAATTAAATGAAGATGAACAGAATTAAAAAGATCCTTAACAGTTTTAACATTGAAATATTTATCCCTTATGATGGAGAATTCAACACAGTCAAGCAGGACTGTGACTCTCTCATCACAAGGGATACAAAACGGAAGATTTTCACCATTTAACAAATATTTGTGAGTGTACCTTGTATGGCCAATACGACATCGTCGCATGATGACCTCTTCAAATCTGGACTGACAACCCAAGTAAGTGTAACCGATATAGGGTTTTATTTCATGTAATTTATTGATACCTACTTGAGTGTCCCACTTATTTTGCATCAGATCACGGATGTAGGTTCTAATGCTAGCTTTGTAATCAGAGTATGGGATCAGAAGTGGTGTCACAGATTTATTGAGTGCTGCCTTGGCATCAAGACCAGCAAGTGTATTCCCAGAAATGCCAACGTGTCGCATTGGCCAGTAGCAAGCTCATTATACAATTCAATAATTTC